TCCCATTAGTATATTTTAGACTGACTCTTAAAGATAGCTTTGCGAAGATAACTTGCTGTTTTATTGTTTACCTCTGGTTGTTAATTTCATGACTGAGGGAAAAATGGGGCTATTACAGAACAAAAAGGCTCTACCTAACATATAGGTAATAACTCTCTTGCCTAGAATGGATCTGCCTGGAAGGGAAGTGCTCGGCTGTTACTCCTTTAGTTCAAATATAGAGTAGTCACTAGGGAAGCTGTGAAACCCAGGTGCTAGTTTTATCATTGCCTCTGCTATGAGCTTTTATTTATTACTTGGCATGAATTCTACATATTTGTTTGGACATTAAATGGCAATAGAATATAAATATTACCTTTCTAATATCTGCATTTCTTTTTATTTCCAGTCAAAATGACATCATGTCCCACAACCATTAAAAGAAGGAAATTAAAACCCCAGAAATATGTTAAAGCAACTTCGTGAGTTGCTGAACTATAAAAGCCACTCACTCTGTGAGCTTGGGTCTGATTGGCACCTAGCACCTTCTCTGTGTTTGGGGACACAGTTCTCCAGCCCATCTCCATTGTTTCCAGGGACTAATGCCTCAGAAGCTAAAGATGTTAGAGAAGGAGTGGTTTCTTTAAGAAGGAACCCAGCAAAGTGAAGAGAAAAAAATCAGTTCTCACAACTGTGATTGCACCCTTTAAGACTTTAACTGTGAATACTCTGGAAGAGAATTCTGCACTTGATTTATTTGTAAAGTGGATTTCCTTTAAAGAAGAAGATCATAAATACATCTCATTACTAGGAGATGTTTTAATCAGGATTTGCTAATTTTCTGATTAGAATTACTGTATAAAATCTAGTGGTGATACCTACATTTTCTTTGCCAATAGCATTTTACGCTGTTGCAGAAGCCTCTGGACAATGCAGCAATAGCTTTGTGTAATGGGCTCTTTGCTGTTTGGGGCAGCACCTGCGGTGATGCCCACTAGGAGAAAGGCCTCATAAAGAAGTTGGGAATGGAAAGTTACCAGTTCCCTTTAGTGGAGTTTCAGCTGATGAGACCAGGAAGGAATCTAAAGCCATTTGTAAGCAGTCCCAATGCAGGCAGATGAAATGGCTTGATATTTTTAACTGTTTAATTAGCTGTTTTTTTTCTCTTTCAAAAGAAATAACTTTGCTTCAGATGACATAGGAACCTTAACTGTAGAGTGTGTTCTCCTTCCAGTGCTACTTCATAGCTATGGATGCGAGGTTCCCCTGGCATCTCAGGCATCACATTTGATCTTGTCTTTTATGTGTTTGCAAGAAAATTTCAGACTTTCCTTAACACATTGCACATAGCTCCATGATGATGCTTATAGCCAAGAAGAAGTGCATAACTACTAGAAAATAAGTTTGGAGGGGTCAGTGGAAGACATATCAATTTAATAATGGTTCTCCAGTAGCCTGGTCCCCTCTATGTCACCCTTCATGAGAAGTTGTCAATGTGGTTACTATTACACAGACATGGCAGTGGACTTTGAAATAAGAGGGGAAGCCTTATGAGGAAAGACCAAGCTTGGCTTTGACTCTACAATCAAAGTATTTTCATCTGTCCTTTTGGGTTAAACACTTTTGCACAAAGTTTATTTTTTAAAGCTTAAGATGTTGTGACACAAAACAACTAATTCCTATGGATGGGCGTGGTCATCACTACAAATAAATGAAGACTGAAACCTCCATCTTTTAGCATTTTCTAAAGTGCATACACTAAGCCAGGTAGTGGTAGTATATACTTTTAGTTCTAGCATTCTGGGAGGCAGAGGCAGGTGAATTTTTGGTCTACTGAGCTAATTCCAGGGTAGCCAAGGCTACACAGAGAGAAACCCTGTCTCAAAAAAAAATGAATATACTGGTCCTATTTTATTCAGAGGGCTTAAGCATTGAGCCGTTTCTTTTTGGGACAAAGGACTTTTTCCCTAAGCCTGCAAGCCTACTATATCCTGTTATCTTTACCTGACTTTGGGGTGAGAGTACCTGAAATCCTTTTCAGAGTGAGGACAAGATGCTTGGAAGCAGAGCCCAAAGAACAACTTTTGTCATCCCATGCCTTCTGCAGTTCACAGCCTCATCTGTTTTCCTTCTTTCAACTTAAGATGCTCGTGCCTCTTTATGTGGTTAATTACGCTCAATTAAGCTGCTTTGTATTTTCTTTCTCTGCCAGATTCTCGGAATAGTCCAAAGTTTGAGGAGAAAAAATTGATTAGTCCTATTTCTGCTGCTGCCCCTGAGCCCTGCACTTGAGTACAATGAGGTCACTTTGTTGAAGAATTAACTTTATATTACATTCTTGCAGGGTAGATGCATGTCCCTAAGGTACCACTACCCCTGCTGATGAAATAAATATACCTTCTTTATGATTCTCCCCCATTACCCTCTCTGTTGATTTTCTGAGAGTTTGTGTTTAGTCACATATTTATACAACTGGGCAAAAGTATACTACTTATTTTTCTTATGGTTTTAATAACCTTGCATAGGTTATTAAAAGGGTATACAGACCCCTTTTAAGGCATAGTTTCTTATGTCATTACTTTATACAAGCAGGTCAGATTCCATCTCAGCAACAATCTCATGCTTTTAACCTTTTTCTCTGATTATAAAAGTAATATGTGCTTATTGTACAGGGTGTGGGAGGGGGGTGAAAACAGAAATGTGCTGGTCACAAAGAATAAGAACAAAGAAAAGCATCATCTTAGGAACCATGAGTTTTAATTGCTGCTATTAAGTGTCAGTCATTCTACAGTGAGTTGGCCTTACAGCCAGAAAAATCACATCCTCCCAACTCCAGAATAAAAACTTTTCAAGGAGCAGCATGGGATTCTAGACACACTGGGAATTCATTATGCAAATGAGGAAATAAGTGAATCCATACCTCTTATGTTACTGGTGGCTTAGACTTGAAAGGTAAAAATTATAGGATGCTAAATTAAGTTTTTGGGAGACTGTAGTGATACACTTACTTGTCTAATGCTACTGTTTATGGTTAAACATTTTGCTGAAAATTAGCCCTATGGTGGGGCTAGGTATGGTATATAACTTAACCCCCAGTGTTCACTCCTATCTCTCTGATGCATTTCTTGATTAAACACCACATATTCTATGGGTAACAGCTTCTGTACATAAAGAGCTCCATGACATTTTCTTGACAAGTCAATCAGAAGAATTCTTCTCAAGGGGTTAGAAATAATTTATAAAATAAAAGGAACAATAAATATTGTGCCTTAACTCATAAGCTAGAACAGAGATTCACTATACCTGGGTGTGATTTTCAGTAATTTCCACTGGAGACATATTGAAAGTTTCCTGTTTGGAAGGGTGGGAGAGAGGAGAGCTGCCTAAATCTCATATTTGCAAAAATGATCAGATTACCCAAAATGAAAATGCAGCTCTATTAATGACCTTAATAGGCACTGTAGTTTGGAAAGGGAAAAAATATTTTAAATAAAGTTACTTGAAGTTCATTCTGACTTAAAACATCCAAGTGAAGTAAAAGTACTTCCCCTGATTTATGTGTCTTAGAGAGAAATAGTTACTGGCTTTTTACTAACCTATATAAAACAATGTACTTTTGTAAATGGATTTCTGGCCACTTTATTCAGCTCCCCCCACATTTTTTTCCTTACATAAAAAGTAAGCACTGTCAATCAAGGAATTTTAAGGTTTATTTCCTCTTTAGCAATGATTGATAGCCTTTTAGATTTACAAGTTGACAAGTTAAAGGGTTCTATTGGTATAATTATGTTCTAAATTCACAGTCTTTCAATTTAAATGTCCTTTTAAAACCAAGAGATTATCATACCTGTATTTTGAAAAGTGGGCCAGTCAGTTTGGGTTGGTATACAAATTGCTTCCATTAGCCTTGGGACCTATTTGAATTTAATACAGTTTTTAAAAGTTAGTACGAATCTTGCTTCTAAAATTTAGGTTAATGGAAATGCATTTTAAGTAAAGCATGTGGCAACTTGTTTTTTTAATGTATAGATAAAATGTTAGGGCTAGAGAGACTGTCTTTTTATTCAGTAAGGGAGAAAATATGCAATGAAATACTTTAGTTAAGCTGAGAAAGAAAAGAAAAGGAATTGTACAAAAAAAATAACAAAATCCCACTGCCTACTTATTGCTCAGGATTCTGGGAATATGTGTAGAGGAGGCTCTTACCATCTTTCTCAGACTAGATATGCTCAAGATGGTTTGTATCCTAGGAAGGAATTCTGAAAATGATAGCATAGACTCTAATTTCTATTTGGTCTAGTTTAAGAGAGTGTGCCCAACAGGACACAGTGAGGTCCATTGTATCCAAATGTTATTATTACAGTTGGCTCTCTGAGTCTTCCAGTAAATCATTCTTAGAGACCCAGCTGGGCTAAGCTAGTATTCCACAGAGGATGGGTTTTCTTTTCCTTTTTTTTTTCTCAAATAATATCAATGCAGTGAGTGAGTCTGTCATTCAAGACGGGAAAGTTTTGGATCAAGGGCATGCTTAATATTTGTCTTTTTGCAGATTCTTTCAAGGGTTTAACAGACATGCCCACCACCATCTTCACTGCACAGAAAGTGCTGAGCTATTGGATCCACTGGGTGTCCATAGGAAACTTAACAGATACCTGTATGGTCCTCTGCTATTTAGAATGCATAGGAATCTTCAGACAAGCTCTTGACTTTTTACCCAGCTTTCTGCAATTAGGTGAATCCTAAAACCTTGTAGCAAATTCCATTTTACTTTTTAGTTAGGATCATGTCGAGGATGTAAGATTCGGCCCGAGGAGCTATGTTCTGAGACCTACTAGCTACTGGTGTTTCCTCAAGAGTTAGTCCTCTCCACAGTAAACACAATAGATGGTGGAAATGCCCACCATGGAGATAATCTACAGGAAGGACTAAAGAGTATCAATTAAATGACAAGACTTATTTCTGTGCTATAAACAATGCAGTATTCCCTAAAATGTTTAAACCCTGTGACGTTTTCCTTACAGCGCTCAATGAACCCACCATCGACTATGGTTTCCAGAGGTTACAGAAGGTCATTCCCCGGCATCCTGGTGACCCGGAACGCTTGCCGAAGGTCAGAATTCCCCCTCTTTGGGACATGGTTTCTAGAAAATTGAACTTGAAAATGGAAAAATACCCTCATTGGTTAAGACCAAAAACGTAGTTAATAGATAACCAACTCATGTGCGTACATTGTGTGTCATGATAAAAGTAGCAAGCACTTTGGGCTGAGCAATGTCATGATTATTTTAATATATATCATGTCACTTGGCAATTTTAGTGACCCTTTTTGTTGGCACTGTTTTACTTGTATTTTAGAAAAGAAAAGAATGAAGCAAAGAGAGGTCAGACCATTTGCTCAAGGTTGCACTGACTTGCTGAGTGCTGAGACTTGCATCTGCCCAGCCTGTCTCTAGAGTTTGGGTTAATCACTCACTAGACAGTCTACAGATGTGTGGGGTCTAGATCTGTATCTCCTCATGAAAGGATTAAAGAACAAAAAACAAACAAACAAACAAACCAAAAAGGAACCACCTTTCTTAGCCAAGGACCTCTTCATGGAACAGATACATGGTCACATTCTCCCTGTATGGGACTGTACTTTTTGGCAGTACTTGTACTGTCAGAGAAGGTCCCATCTATCATACTGTTGTCTCCCAGGCGTATGCATGGCTTTGAGGAACACAGTGTTTGGGTATGATATCTACTAATGCCAAAGAGAGGATGCTTTATGACAGGCATGTCTGTCTTCTACTTTGACCTCAGGGGAAGAGCACAGCTTCCAGTTTCTCAGAACAGCCCTACTTCTACTGAAGTGCTGTTCATACTGATAGACAGCTCTGAAAAGCACTTCATCTGGGGAAGGAATAATATGATGTGTCATTGTGTTTACATCTCTGTCTTTAGAAGGAGCCCTGCCTTTTTCCTCCATCCTGTTTTATTCTTGGTGAACTGTGAAGCAGTCTATTGTAACAATGGGCAGCTGTGTCTTCCAGGGCATAGGTGTTCTGGGGAAATGCTGAATTTTAGGTCCCTCTGTCCAGCAGGAATATAGTGACTGTGTATTTCCTGATAAGTTACAAACAATTGTAGACATGATGTGTACCCACATTGAGAGCTGTGCCGTAGCCTTATTGTGGTAGAACGAGACACATGTACAATGACAACTTTTTCTGTCATTTTAATTTAGGCAGTAACTTTACTTTCATCTAGATTTTAGGTCAGCATTTCATCCCTGGGGTCTTCAGGGTTAAGAGCACAGCCTGGAAGTTCAGATTGGGCCAAGTAGAACCAAGTCCTCTGTCAAAAGTCTTCCATCCCTTTGCTTGGCTCAGTTTCCTTGTGTGTCAAGTGGGAATAGTGATACTTTTTGCTTTGCCAGGTTGTTATGTTATTCTGACCACTTAGCACCTGACAGAAGGTAATCCTGGTTATGTGTCAGGTGAATAAAAGTGAGAACAGAAAAGCTCCCTCCCATGAACAGTTGGATGCATGCTGTTTTCCCGTGTACCTTACTTTCTTCAGCCACAAAAGAGGCATAATAGAAGCATATAAGGATGAAAATAGCCAAATGGTTGAGGTCTAAAGAGGCCAGGCTGTGTTTTTGTTTTCCTTTTTTCTTTTCATAAGGATAGAGAAATCAGAATATAAGCGTGAGTTTTGTTTACCTACACTTAAAAACATTTTTACAGTTGCAGGTTAAGTTTTAAAATGTTGGAAAATTATCTCAGGCATATGTCACTTTGCCCCTGGGGGTTTCTGGGTAAACCACTCAACCCTTTCTTCCTGAACTTGGGAGGAGCAATCAAGGACACAATGGACATGTGTGTGTTAAGGAAACCCTGCAGCTTGCTTCCAACCACTCCAACTGTGTAAAGCTGTGGCCAGAGGAGCCCACCCCAGGAAGCTCCCCTTGTGACTCAGAGCAGAGTGGCTGTCCTCTTGGCTCTGCAAGTTAAGGTGGAGCAAAAGTTCAAGGGCAGGGTCAGGAAATGGCGGATGGAGCCAGCATAAGGTATTCCTGTGGACTTGAGATTTATACCCCTGCTATCCATTGTTAGGGCCAGAGAAAGGGACTCCGCCTTTCTCGGGCTCATGGTCAGTGTTTGTCAAACACGGTGTTTCAGTGAACTGTGGACCACACACCTTAAAAAACAAACTCCACTTTATTAAACCCATGTGTTTGTGAATAGACAAAGCTAGATTCATACAACCACCCACATATTCTGTCAAATGAAACTTGCTCCAAAGACCACGCTTTCCATAATAATATGCCTTTGTATATAGCCTTGCACTTTTTCAAAGAACTTGGACTTGCTTTGTTTTACTGGATCCCTTCTTGAGAAAGGAGTTGGAAAAATAGACATTTTTATCTTTATCCTCCCCATTTTTCCAAACAGGGAAAGAGGAGCAAGCAGACTCTTGGTAAATTATTTTGTCTCTGAGAGCCACTCTAATTACGCTAACCCTCCATGTCGAGGAGTTTCATATGCACAAAGAGATGAGCAGGCTGGGGTCTTTAAAGCATAGATTTCCATCCTGTCTCACTGAGGAACAAGCTTTGTTCTCTGGGTCCTTCAGGAGAAATGTGGCTTTGGGATCCAGATTGGCTTCTTGTAAAGAAGTGAGAGGGATGAGGATGGTGGCCAATCAGAAATTTAGATGATAGTTACTTTGGTGATGCCATGCAGAAACTGAACAAGGAGCTCTCTCAGCTTTGGAGGCCAATGGCAGTGTCTCCTCCATACCTTTGTAGTTTGCTACTTGTCTTCTTAAGCAGCCTGTGAGCTTCAGCCCACAGGCAGTGCAAGCAGGCCTTGAGCCTAGCTGGCATTCCACACACTGGCTGAGAGTTTTGGGAAGCCAGGATTGTGTTTGTTTCACGCCTATTGCATGTCTAGTGCTGCTTCATGGAGTCTGCTGTAGAGCAGAGTGGCCAAGTGAGCCAGTCCGCAAGCCAGACACACACAGAGTCTGGAAAGCAGACCAAGGACTTGGTGCACGCAAGGCCTTCATGTCTGCAGACTCAGGTTCCTACTCCTGTTGCACCGTGCTCCTAGGAACCAAGGAGGTGAAGCATACAAAGAAAAGTTTCAGGCATCTGGGGAGACACCAATAAGTGGGGACACTGACCTCTGTAGGACATGCATCTCACATTCCACAGAAGAGGAATTCACAAGGCGGTCTGTCTGCTGACTTGTTATGACATCAGAACCAGGAAGTGAGAAAGCTCAAACTTGAACTCAGGTCTACGAGTTCAAAACCCTCCCTGTAGCTACTACGTTAAATTCCCAGTGTTCTTTAGATCTGGTCAGTCAAATACTTCTGTCTGATGGCAATTTCTTTCTCCCTCCTCTTACTCAGCAATATTTTCTGCCCATGCCCTCCAGTTACTTAGTAGCTTTTCCTCCTTCCTCTATCAAGAGGGACTGATTTGGAAATCTCTACCAAGCCAACACAGTTTGATTATGAGATCCAGTCTCCCTTTTAGAGAAAATCAAGCAGTTTGGGAAAAGCAACAAAGGCCACATTTGTGTATTTTGCTTTATGGAGCTGAAAATATCTGGTAAATTGATCCAGTGGGAGTCATAAATACACATTACTTTATCTTGTTCTTCGTGTCCTATACCCCAGAGCCTCGATAGAACAACACCACTTAATAGACTTAAGAAAGAGTAATTACACTCATTGGTTGTGTGATTTTTCAGCCCTCCCAGCCCTGCCTGACCTTCTAATTCAGCTCACCGTGTCTAACTAATGCATTTATAGTCATCTTTTATGAAGCACGGATAGTGCAGGATTGGCTGTACAGTCTTTTGCTAGCTGTCTGCCCAGGTTCTCAATCTGGTTGGTAGTGAGGGGAGAAGGAGCCATCCATCTCCATACGTTTGCATGGATAGACAGTCATAGACATGGTTGTGAGCATTTTTCATCCCTTATGAAACATAATAAAAAGTATTTATTACATTTTTACTTTAAAGCTTTTATACATTCTAGCATTATTTACAGCTAAACATGCAGGCAAAAGATGCGAGTGTTTTTAAAATCATTACTGCTAATGTCTCAGCTTGTCAGAAGTGCTTAAATTCTCCTGCACTTTGTCGAAAAACTTGGTACTATTGCCTTTTAAGAACAACACATTTAAAGGATCTTGCAAGTCAGATCTGCAAACACTGCTGACAGCCTGTGATGGATGATATTGCAAAATTTGCAAGATGTTTGTCATTTCACACAGCTGACATATTAAGGAATGGATTAAGAAACTCAAAACCCCTATGGGAAACAGTCATCCCCCCTCAAGCCCCAGCCAAACCTCGAACCCCCAAGAGCACACCAGCATCTCTCACTCGGCTGTCTCTCCCAACTTCTCACTCAGCCATTGGATCCCAATTGTTCTCAGAGCATTTTCTCTCACCATATGGTCTCCTCATTACCATACACTAAGAGTCCATATGGGAAACTTGTGAAATGAACTGTATTCATTTTAACTGCCAGATGAGCAGCCTTGTGCTTTGCAAGCCTAGCTTAAGTCATCTGCTGTCTTCGTGTTGTTATGGCAACATGGCGCCAATAAAAAATTCTAATCTACTGTAAGTGATCACAATATTTTAAGTGCTTGCCTATCACTGGCCTCTAAAGGGGCACGAGACAGGAGGGCTTCAATTTGTTCAAAGACATGAAGGTCGTAAGTGATTCCATCAGGTGTCAGTAAGGAAGCTGCTGAGACTGTAGCTGTGTGTCCATGAGGTCCTGGGCTAAAATGTGGCTTGTCATGGGGATGGGGGTAGAGGTGGTGAATTGCAGGGCACATGGGTCACAGCCTCTTTGGATAAATCTAAAACACACACTGAATGTCATTCACTATAGTGGCTCAGATACATGGCTGTGCTGGTGATGTCGAGCCAGCCAACCATGGGTACCACTCTAGGGTTAGACTCACTGAGGCAGCAGCAGATCCTCATGGAAGCATCTCCTTCATTGCCATTTGAAAATCTCCGAGTCCATGAAGCCGCCCTACTTGAACACAGGAGTCAGTCGTTTCAAATGCTGGGCTAATTAAGAGTACCTTAAAGT